TGGAAGACTGGAGGTTGGCTAATGTGGTGCCACTGTTTAAGAAAGGTGGTAAGGAAAAGTCAGGGAACTATAGACCCATGAGACGGTGGGCAAATTTGTGGAAGGAATCCTGAGGGACAGGATTTAAATGTGTTTGGAAAGGCAAGGATTGATTAGGGATAGTCAACATGGCTTTGTGCGTGGGAAATCGTGTCTCATTAATTTGATTGAGTTTTATGAAGAAGTAACAAAGAGGATTGATAAGGGCAGAGTGGTGGACGTGATCTATAAGGACTTCAGTAAGACATTTGACAAGGTTGCTCGTGGTAGACTAGCTAGCAAGTTAGATCACATGGAATACAGGGAGAAGTAGCCATTTGGATACAGGACTGGCTTGAGGGTGTGAGACAGAGCATGGTGATGGAGGGCTGCTTTTCAGACTGTAGGCTTGTGACCAGTGGTCTGCCACAAGGATTGGTGCTGGGTCCACTGCTTCTGGTCACCCATATAAATGATTTGGATGTGAACATACGAGGTATGGTTAATAAGTTTGCAGACAACACCAAAATTGGAGGTGAAGTGGAGAGCGAAGGTTACCTCAGAGTACAATGGGATCTTGATCTGATGGGCCAATGGGCCGAGGAGTGGCAGATGGAATTTAATTTAGATAAATGTGATGTGCTGCATTTTGGAAAGGCAAATCAGGGCAGGACTCGTACACTTAATGGTAAGGTCCTGGGGAGTGTTGCTGAACAAAGAGACCTTAGAGTGCAGGTTCATAGTCCCTTGAAAGTGATTCCACAGGTAGATAGGATAGTGAAGAAGGCGTTTATATGCTTGCCTTTATGGGTCAGTGCATTGAGTAAAGGAGTTGGGAGGTCATGTTGTGGCTGTACAGGACATTGGTTAGGCCACTATTGAAATACTGCTCTAAGAAGAATGTTGTGAAACTTGAAAGGGTTCAGAAAATATTTACAAGGATGTTGCCAGGGTTGGAGGGTTACAGCCATTGGGAGAGGTTGAATAGACTGGGTCTATCTTCCCTGGAGGATCAGAGGCTGAGAGGTGACCTTACAGAGGTTTATAATATCATCAGGAGCATGGATAGGTTTAATAGACAAAGTCTTTTCCCCGGGGTGCAAAAGTCGAGGGCATAGATTTAAGGTAAGAGGGGAAAGATTTAAAAGGGACGTGGGGGCAAGTTTTTCACGCAGAGGGTAGTGCATGTATGGATTGAGCTGCCAGAGGTACAATTACATTTAAAAGGCATCTGGATGGGTACATGAATAAGAAGATTTAGAGGGATATGGGCCAAATGCTGGCAAATAGACCTAGATTAATTTAGGATATCTGGTCAGCATGGATGAGTTGGACTGAAGGGTCTGTTTCAATGCTGTACAGCTCTATGACTCTATGAAGTTTGAAATTGGTATGTAGCAAATAGCAGCATGTCCTTCATGAATTCATTCCCCTCCAGCGATGGGATGTGAAGCTAATTGTCACTTCACCAGGTGAAGTCCTGGTGGAATGTGCCTTTGCCACAACGTTTTGGAAAGAGCTTCATCTGAAAGACCATCAACTCAGTGAAAGACACTCTTTGGTGTCCCAAAACCAGCTGGTTTTCTATTGCACAGTGTTGCTCTTGATTGAGCTTTGCAGACCGGCATATTCCAAAATCCAGGTCTGTGTGCTAAAGGATGCATGAAGCTTGAGGCAGCCATGCATTGCCGTCATGGGGAAAGTTTACTCTCTATGGCTTTCAGCTACAGTATACTGAGAGGCTGGAATATGTCACACACCTTGGGCTGAATTTCTTTCAACGAACGTACATTGAAAAGATCATGAAAATTGAAAATGTAATGTCAGCTTTTAGTCCTTGTTTCCCCAGTCCATCAGATTTACTCTGAATGTCAACAACCCAGAGCAGTCTGAATACCAGAATATATCCAGTTGTTCTTTATTAAAGCAAAATACACAGAAAAAAAAACACCATAATTTTCATCCATACAATGCTTACAATCACAAGTGACCCAGTTTACATGTACTTGTCTGAGGATCATCATGCTCGACCTCATCCTCCAGTCACTGATCAGATGACCCTGTCCTGAATTAGCTAGCTATCACTCTGGGGCACACTTTCTTGTAGTCATTTTCTATTCAGTCAAGACAGTGTATTCAAACTTTGACACTGTCCAGTCTCCCGCAATTTGATCAGTTTGACCAATAGCAAACATCACAAATATGCCAACTATCTTGGTCAGTTTATCAATTACTCACAAAGACATTTGATCTTTTCCTTGGACAGAGGCTTACCCTTTGGTTTTAACAGACTTTGACCTTAGATTTATCTTAACCAACCATGATATTTACACAGCACAATTCTATGATCAAGCACATTCTGTTTAGCTGATAAATAGTCACATTATCTTCCAATTCACTGTCTGTTTTAAAACAGGACTTTAGCCTTTCAGACATACTGTGACAATTTAGTTCATTACGGTTGAGTTACAACACTTAAGCACTTACACATTGCTTCCGACACAGAAACATTGAGACCAGTGACCTTTCCACTCCTGGGTCATCACCTGACCATTAACTTTTCGATAGAGCAAATTTTGTACTTTTTCATTTTGGCTAACCCAGAAAATTTTAGGTTAATATCTATAACATTGAGCCTCTTCAACATAGAACATGATGCAGTGAGATAAGTTTATTTCTGTTACACTTTTGTTAATTTCCAATATGATTTTTCCTTGGGTTGTATACTTGATATGGAATATATGTTGTAAATATTGGAACCAATACAATTGTAGAACATGCTGTGTGGGGATGAATTTAATTTTATTGTAAATTCCGTAACATTCAAGTTGCAATGTTTTGTCTCACATATTCTTTACAGGCTTAGAAGGGATGAAGGGATAGACCAGGAAATTACAGGCAAGTCAGTCTAAATTCAGTGGTGGGGAAGTTATTAGAAGGAATTCTCAGGGACAGCACATATTTGCACTTGGAGAGACACAGACTAAACAGAGACAGTCAGCATGGATTTGTTAAGGAAAGGTCATGTTTGAGAGCTATTCAGATCAAAGGCCAAGTGGCACGTTGAATCAAAAAGTGCAGAAAGGAAGCAGAGGGTGATGGTAGTGTTGGAGAGTTTTTCCTGAGACCAGTAATCCAGCTCACACAAAGCTCATTATCAATTTGCTGTGTGTGAGCTTGCTGTGGGCAAATTGACCTTTGTGTGTCCTGAATTCCAACAGTAGCTACACATCCAAAGTGCTTCATTGTATTTGAAGTACTGCAGGAAGCCGTGAAAGGCGCTATATCAATCCAAGTCTTTGTATCATATGCCCTGCCGAAGAAATGTATACAATTATTAACACAGAGATTTTAAAAATAGAATAGAATCTAGGGTCAGGTATCTTTCACAAAATATAAAAACAGATTCAGGAGATACCTTTGGCTAAGGTCGAGTTGCTGAAGATGCTGCAGCCTCAGGTGAGCTCCTCCTGCCTCGCGCCCAGGTGAGGGCTGGCGCTGGCCACGCCCCCTTACCGAGCCTGCCAATCAATGTGAAGGAAATCCCGCCCTCTTCCGCCGCGGATTGGCAGGGCCTCCCGGGTGTTATTGGCTGGGACGGCTGTCCATCAGGAGGCGGCTGCAGGTGGGGGGCGTTCCTGGGCGCTGAGCGGAGCGGAGCTGCGGTGAAGTTGTGGCGGAGTTTGGAAACTGTGTGTGGGAGTTTGATAGTGACCTATTCTCCCCTACTCCTTGATCACCCTCCACAACAAAACTTCACTGGAGGTCCCTAACCTACCTGCTTGAGGAGCGGGAAGAAAGAAAGAAAGAAAGAAAGAGAAAAAGAACAACTTTGTATAGGAGTGAATCATGAAAAGTTTGAAGTCACGGTTGAAGAAACACGAAGTCACCCTCAATGTAAGTTGAGGGCGCGTCTTTAGCGTTCATTTAATCAAAATATTTGAATATGTGCAGTCGCGGTTTCTGTATTCTGTATTTCTGAATTTTTGGATTCGCTGGCTTTTTTTTTAAAAGAGTCTCCTGAGGCAGCAGCATTGAGGGGATTGCGTGTTATCACTGCGCCCCATGTGTGTTTAAAATGCAGCACCCTCTTTGCTGATCTAAGCGCCACTTTTTATGGTGTTCGACCTCTAATCTGCGGGTGTGATCAGGCAACTAAAAAGTTTTACTTGCAGGCTTTTTTTTTTAAAAAAGTGTTGCGGAGTTTATATAGGGAC